GAAAAAGTTAAGCGCTGTGAATACCTTCTGGATGCACTGTATATCATGTGCTGTAAATGGGCTAAAAAGTGGCTGAGGGCGGGGTACACAATGTGCATAAATGGCCCCACGCTGGGTAAACTGTACAAGATTGTGTCGGAACGGCCTGTAATTAATTCCATATAGAGGAGTTAATGACACGTGGAAAATGCATGAACATTACTGGCATGATGAAGTGGACACATGCAGTGACACTGAACAATTTATTCTTACTTATTGTCCGAGTTTCCTTTTGATTTCTTATAGTTTGCATAGTCCTCCAAGACAGTCTCTATATTCTTCTTAGCAGGCAGATGAAACAACTGTAAGCAGCAGAAAGAGCAGGATGTCCACATGAATATTTAATACAGACATTTTCTTTACTGTGGACCCAACTTTCTGACCTCCACAGCTTATCATAGCTGAAGTAAATCTACAGCCAACACGGGAACTTCTCATGGTTTGTGTGTTTTTTCACCTGTTTTTGTCGGGTGATGAGGTCCCAGTCGTCCACCAGCCAGGGTTTCAGCTCCTCAGGGATCTTAACCTTCACCTCCACACGGTTGGTGAACATCTCCTCCTGGACAAAGACACAGATGTACATGACAGAACTTTTTTATTATTTCAAAGGGTGTGTTTGGGAACAGCAATGCTTCTACTTCACCGCTACAGTGTTTATTTTAAGCAATAATATCCCAGTATGACAACAATTCTTTCTTGTTGATGGAAACTGGCAGCAGGTCAGCCTCCACCCTCAAATGTTCAGGTTTTTCGTAACATAAATACTGTAATCTTTTGTTGAAATCCTGGTTTGTGCACAAGTCATAATTACTTCTGCTGCTGGCTGCATGATGCCAACATTTCCTGCTGTTTCTTGCTTTCTGAGGCAGACGAAGCCATTTTTCTCACCTGTGGGCACACCAGAAATAACTCTGTGGTTGAAGAGTCCCAGCAAGCACCTACTGTTGCGTGCAGGGGGACAGCGGTCACATTCATGCACAAATAACTGACTCTTTAAAGAACTTTGTGAGTTGGGTGAAGTCAAAAAGACCAGGAACTTGTTTTACATTTCAAATTTCACAGTTATTTGGCCATTTTTACTATGACATCTCAATATTTTCCAGGAAGGTAGGTGAGTCTGCAGTTTATGAAACGGGTTCTTGGGTCAAATAATAAGTTGTGGGTTCAGTCTATGACTCTACAGAAGCCTAGTGATCAAAATGGCTCCATAAAACAAAGCTAGTACAGTTTTCCCAGCTTTATACGTAAACAAAATGCCATGCTATGAACTGTTTAAGCTATATTATCAGGTAGTAGGTATGTCTTCATGTGTGTCCACGGCGTTACCAATAACTGCTGATACATACACTCTCCACAGTGGGATCAACCCGAGCCCTCTTCTTCCGTGGTCCCTGGGGCGGTTCTCCGCTGCTGGTGCCTTCACCCGGCCCTGGGGCTAAACGAGACACCCATTACAACTTATAAATTATGTAGAAATAAAGGTTAGTAGTTTTAAGAATATGTCTGTTAGGTTGTCAAAGTCAGAGCCTCTTCTTTTACTGAACAGATCCATAACAAGCAAGTAACTACATAGGCCAGTGCTTTTAGGCATAATGGAGGAGCAGGTAAACAACAACGTGTTATGTAGTCTGTAGTAAGAGAACAATAAAGCTGCAAACACTGCAGCCAATTTTATCTACTACTAGGAACTCATAATATCTTTTTTCATGATGATTTTCACATTCAGTGTTCCTTCAAATCACTTTACACCTTTGAGCATACACTTTAAGTTATTTATAAATAGGAATGTAAAGATGTATTACGAGACAATTCACTGGCAATACAAAGATTCAAATTTGTGAGATGGAAAATGAATCATGATTTAAATCTTAATTTCTCTCTCTCTATATATACACAGTATATAATATATTCATTTTCACTTTTACAAATAAAGGGATCATTTATAATTTGTCTTCAATCTTATTATGTTAAAAAATAAATGTAACTCGTACCATGAACTTAGTATTGTGAATTGAATCGTGAGTTGAGTGTATCCTTGTATTACCTGATATCACCATATACAAAAAGTGCTTTTTCTTTTACTTTCTGATATGAATAATAACATTATCAGAGAGAAGCTTCCGGTCTGGACTGCCTGGAAAACCATGACGCTGTGATAATACTCACAAGGCTTATTGTAAATACCCGTATGCCCAAAATGGCAAGTACCAATCATAAACTGATGAGACATCTTTGCCATTTCTTTGATATTTCACAACACACTAAATGGTGCATTAACATTTCGTTGTAATATTTAACTGCTACTGTCGGATTCTGGTGACTAAACAAACTTTCCTTTGACAATAAGTTGTGATTTTGGGTTATATAAAAAAATGTTACTTACTCTTCTGTTTTGCCTTTTTCACTTTCCTAGGATGTAAAAAAAGCAATTAAAGCATTAGAAGTGACAATATGATATTATACATGTGCCCGGTGTGGTTCCCATATACAGTGACTACATTCAGTGCATACATGCAAACGTTACTCCATTAAATAAATATTGTCAGGCCAACATTATGTCAACTTTACAGGATGTGTTTTACAATATACTGAATTATTAGAGGAAGGAAAACAAGGTGGACACTTACAGATCAACATTTTTCTGCTGCACAGCAGCAATCTTCTTGCTCGGTGCTAAACCCCTCATCTTTCCCTCAACATAATGGTCCCTGGAGAAGAGAAAATGAGTGAGGATCATTTTACAAAATCGACTTAAAATGCATATTTTTGAACTGATATGTGTCGATATATTGTTCCGTTAAGAGCACTATGTTTCAACTCTAATAAGAAACTAATAATAAATTCATGGTGAAAATATAATTGACAAAGTGAAAATGATGTTACTCTTTTGTTAAAGGCAACAAACTGAAATTGTTCGCCTAAACCAAGGAGGAGAAACTACAGTGGTCATGAAACGTATCTGTATATCTACATATCTAGAACCAGTGTTTGGTTTGTCCATTCTGGGCTACTGTAGAAACATGGCTGTTCAAAATGACTCTGTGGAAGAGCACCCGCTCCCTCTGTAGATAAAAACGTCTCATTCTAAGGTAACAAACACACAAATATTATTTTCAGGTGATTATACACAAATGAAAACACACCTATTAACATTATATATCATCCTAAATGTTACACACTGGACCTCTAATGTCTAATGTCTAATAATCATCTGAGTAAACAACAAAGAAACTTACTGATTGGCCTTTTGAAGCTCTTTTTGTTTCGCAAGGTTGCTGTCCACATATTTGAGAACTCTGCTTTCAGGAACCCATTCATCCCAGCTGCGGAAAAACCCAACAAAACACAGTAAAACAACTGTCCATAACGATGCTAATTAAAAAAGTCCTCAGTGATTTTAGCACAGCAGGGGGAAAAGGCAAGCACTCAGACAGGAAATCAAACTGTATCCGAACCAAGCTGCTCACTTTTTGTTCCATCCGCTGTAATGAATGAAGTATTTAATCTGCTTATCCTTTATGTTGATCTTTACACACTGAAAAAAACAAACAAGAAAACACACACACACACACACAGGTCTGTGTTAATGACTGAACATTTGTGTTAGCAGTTAATAATCAACAAATAACCTCAGTACTGAAACAAACCTTTGCCTCATAGAGCAATGGCCCATGAAAGCACAGGACTCTTTCACCTGCGAGGAGAAGAACAAATGTGACCCTGGTGCACAGAAATACCACAATGTATACAAGTATAATAACTCATAGACTAACATTAAGGCTCTCAGGTTGCTCGTGAGCTAATATAACATGAACTGACATGTTTCCAGCGACTCTTTTGTGTGTCAGTGACTGTGAAATAAACAAAACCTTCAGTCCATACACAGGATAATAACAGGCTACCTAAGTGTTAGCTCGACGTTAACGCCTGTTTTTACAGCTTTAGCTTTAACATACGTTCATTTTGGGGTGTTTTGTACGAATTCCTCACATATATGTGCAGTAACAAAGGCTATGTGGCTCTATCTCCCTCCCTGGAGACCACTATTAATTGTCGAGCGAGCTAGCTGGAGCAGCAGCATCAACAATAACAACAAACCCGCCCCCCTCGCAGACGTTACCCGCCCGCGTTGTTTTCTTTTCTCTACACACCTTCTTGAAATTTAGGTTTAGGGTCCTGTTTTGGCGCCATTCACAGACTCAGCTGATCGGATCTCTGAGTGATCAAATTCGTGCATTGCCAGAGTCCATTTCTTCCAGGCACAAACACCTCCGACATTGGAGCCACAGCGAAGGAGAAGCCGAGTATGGCCTGCCTGCTGCTGGGTCACCTGACCACCGTGGAGGCTGGGAGCTGTGCTGCGTTCAGGGGCTCCTCCGGAAAACTCGAAGAAAAAAACAAACAAACAAACTCAAAGATGATGATTTTTTTTATGTAATACTATTTTCTTTGTGTACGACGGAGTATAAGGGCCATACTAAGAAAAAAACATGTTTTATTTTTTTGGGAATTACGAGAATAAAGTCGTAATGTTACGAGAATAAAGTCGTAATAATACGAGAATAATGTAATCGTTTTAATGAGAAAAAAGCTTTGATAGAGTTATCAAGATCTGACGTGACCAGCTCAACCAATCAGCAGCCTCAGCCT